CGAAGGCCTGAGGTCAAATTTGTCGTGTGCCGTACCAGCCTTCATAGGTGTTCGCTAACAGCACTTCCCCAAATTGTATGTTAAGTCTATATGGGGAAAATGTGTCTTTGCTGTCGGTGAGTGTCCGTGTGTTGGTGTGGGTATATCAGGCTGGACGCGCGCGCAGGTGTAGACGCGTGGTCACGGCACACACCTGTGCAGCTGCTGACTCCGCCACGCGGAGGCCACGCGGCGTGGCGCGAGTCGGGGCACGCGTGGGGGGTGGTGGGGGGGGGCAGCTGCTGCCCTCGACACATTATCGGTGAGCTCAGCTGATTACCTCGCATCCTCGCATCACGTACACCTCCTCAACCTCAACACCTCCTCAACCTCAACACCTACACCTCCTCAGCACCTACAGATCCCTGGCCTCCATACCTACACCTCCTCAACATCTACACCTCCTCAACTTTGGTACGTCCGCTTTAGCCGCCGTGGCAGCGTCCTCAAGTTATCTGCAGGTGTGGGGGATGGGAGGTGGGGGCCACATGTCATGGAGACATCGGGATGTGAGACCTGAATCCAGGACAAGTGTGCGTGCGGAAGGGTAAAGTGTGTGTAGAGGTGGCTGTGTGTAGAGGTGGCTGTGTGTAGAGGTGGCTATGTGTAGAGGCGGCTGTGTGTAGAGGTGGCTGTGTGTGTGTGGAGGGTAAGGGGCTGTGGCTACCCGAGTTCGATTTGCACTCACGGTCAACATCGGTGACAAATACCTGAGCTGGTCCTGAGCCTCCCTGAGATGAATTCAGCCTTATTTGAGTACCTGACACAGTGTGCAACACTTGGGATACAATGGCGGCCAGGCGTGGCGTTGGCCTTCATAGATGTTTACTAACAGAACTTGCCCCAAGAGTCTGCTACAGGCTATATGGGGGATCTTTGTCTTTGGAGGGAAGGGGGCTTGGCAGCGCGGTGGTGAGGTGGTGGAATATGCTTCCAGTCAAGGGACACAGGAAAGGCCGATGAGTCCGATGGCATCTATGACCTCTTGTCCCAGGTGCTAGCTATAGTGGTACCTTAGGGAAGTGATCTTGTTGGGTGACTTTAATGCCCCAGTGGATCATGCTGCAAGCACCTTGGATGGAGTGATTTAAAGGCATGGGCCAGATTAGCTCAATAACAATAGTAGGAGGCTGCTAGATTATCGATGAGCAGCCTTCTACTATTCTAATCACCAAGACGCTGTTCGGGCATCGGCGCATTCACACATCATGGATGAACGCTGGGTCCAAGCAAGCACATCTGCTTGGCTATATAGTGACGGAACAGTGATGCGGGCCCATGTCCTTTACACCAGAACCTACCGTGGAACTGATCTGTCCACTATAAGCGTGTCAACTGTAAGATAAAGACTACCATTCTCCAATTGTGGTGGTGAGAGTCCACCAAGGACCCCATTTGAATCCACAATAGCCTGGTCTCGGCTCGCTAACATAAGTTGCATGTGGGATTTTCAGCATCGCTTGTGGCATTCTGCACTCTGGCATAATTCATGCGCCTGCTTCTGATGTGAAGAGGAAATGAGTGAGATTCAGGACTGCGGCTCATGGAGCTGCAATGGCTGCATTGGCAGTCCAGACTTCCCCAGAAACCCTGTCTGACGGAGACAAGTAAAAACTATACTAAACTATGTTTTCATTTTACCAGGAAGGCCCACTGAGCTATATAGCTCTTTATCAGAAGCGACCTTGCCACAAATAATAGCTCATTTTAAGTGACTTATCACGTGGAAATGTATAGCGGCCAAATACTTTAAACACATGTTTCTAAATCTGGAGGGGAAAACCGGAGGACCCGCATACAAATCCACGTGACCGCGGGGAGAACGTGCACACTCCAAATATACAACTGTCCACGGGACGGGTTTCTGCAGGATTGGAAGTATACCCTGGTGGTCCCTTTCTTAAAACGGTGGGGGGGGGGGGGGGGGGGGAGATCCCACTGATTGCAATAACTACTGCGGAATCTCTATCCTCAGTCGTCTTGGAAATGTCCTGGCAATCAATGAATGTTTATTTGTTATCGGGAAGGAATATTCAACGTTGCATTGCCAGCCATGCTTGCTTAGCCCCAATGTGGTTTCAGTCTGGGGTGGTCCTACATGGACGCTATTTTCTCTGTCCGTCTTCTACAGCAGAGGTGTAGACATTTTCAACAGGACCTACATCTCTGCTTTATTGATCTGGTCAAGGCCTCGTATACCATAAAGAGACTAGGGATTTGGGTTACTCTCCTTGCTTTCAGGTTTCTTTACCTTCTGCTCATGACCTTTGCGATAGTGAGCTGGTCAGGGTAAAGTGTTATGGTTGATGGATGCCCAGGTACCATGTTTAATTTGTTGATGATATAGTAATTGCGACTCACTCTGAAAAGTTGAACGTGGAGAATGTCAAAACCTTCAGTCTCACCAAAACAAAACACATGCTTGGGCGTTTGATATCATGAAACATTCCAACGTGTTAAACTCTCAATGAGTAATGGAGTGGTTGTTGAGATGATGGAGGAATTCCCATTCCTGAGCAGTGTGCTCATCGACAGCCACAACTTGGTAGTGGAGGTCTCACGTAATTCAATCGGCACCATAACACCTTGTGGAAGCTGTCTGGGCTATCACTCCATACGACGTTGCGGGTATTCTTGGCCACGGTAATATCCTTCTATGCTTGCAAAACGTAGAGCCCTTTAAAACATCTGCAACAGTTTGAACAGTCAGGCTGACCTGCCTGCGATCCATCCTGGGTTTTTACCAGACTGGATTTTGTAAGGAGCTCATAGAATCTTGAAAGATCTAGACATAGTCCCATCATCAGTGAGCTTCTCCTGGCAGGCAAGGCAGGGCAGCTAAAACGCGAGTTGACACAGTGGGAAGCACAGGAGGTGCATTTGTCAGTCAGCTCAGGCAGTCAATCCATACTATCTGGTACCACCACTTCATGGCGAATGCCAGTTGTTGTGTCAGGGTGTCAACGTGTGTGTGCTTACGTGTGTGGCTTGTGGGGAGCGGTAGTGTAGCGGTTAGCGCGCTGCGCTATGAACCTGGCGACCCGGGTTCGATTCCCGCTCACGGCCAACACCGTCAGTGACGATTATCTGAACCGGACCTCCCCTAGGTCGACTCAGCCTCAAATGAGTACCTGGTGCGGTGTGTAAACATTGCCACTAGGTAGACAAAGGCGGTCGGGCGTAGTGTTGGCCACCCACCCCCTCGTGCACCGTTCCGGCCTTCATAGGTGCTCGCTAACAGCACTTGCCCCTACAGTCTATTAAGGCTATACGGGGGATCTTGTGAGGCTTGCATACCTATGTGTATGTATGTATATATACACGCGTGTGGGTTCATTAGTACGCGTGTGTATGTGTGTGAATGTGTATGGGGAGAGGTTAGCGCGCTCTGCTACGAAGTCGGCGACCCGAGTTCAACTCCCGGTCAATACCGGTCGTGGGCCTCCGCTGGATCGACTCAACCTCAAATGAGTACAGAACCTGCGGTGTGAAAACATCGCCATATCGGTGCTACCTCAAAAGTCTGTTAAGGCTATACGGGGGATATTTGTCTCGTCTTTGTGTGAATACGTGTGTGTTTATGTGCTACGGGGGGGGGGGGGGGTATGCGACAGGGGAGGGGGGCATAGGGGATGGCTTTCGGAATCAGGCTGTAGTGGAAGGGGGGTGTCGGCAAGGCTGTAGGGGAGGCTGTATGGTTGGCCAAAGGGGGGACTGTAGGGGAGGGTGGAAGAGGAGGAGTCTTGGGTCGCTATAAGAGGAGGCTCGTCCTGGGTCCATTCAGGTGATCCAGGACCCCAACTCGAGCACAGGTGCGATTCCTAAAAATCACTGGCAACATGACGATCATCATCATCGCCATCACACTTGCTGTCTAAAATATCAAACATCATCATCATCACCTCCGCTATCGACATCACCATCATCACCACCATCGATCTCACCATCGAAACTCTGAAACCCTCAGCACATCGCTATCACCATCAATATCATAATCATCGTCGACATCAGCATCCTCACGGTCCACATCACCAACCTGAATCACACCACCACCATCATCACTGCTCAAGACAACACTAACATCATCATCATCGCCATCTTCAACTCAAGGCTTATGACCTGTTTCTATAATTTCGCCTGGTAGTTTTATTCCAGCATTTTGTGATCATTTTACCGTTTAATTATTTTACCACTTCTCACTCTTACGTGTTTAAATTAGTATTATATTAGCGTCTTCACAACGTGTGTAGAATATCTGTGGTGTACCTGAGTTGGCCTCACACCTTGCGGAACGAAAAGCGCTCTCTACGAAGAGAGAGGAGCGGTGCCATCAGCAGCGGCTTGTGCGGGGGGAGGCTAAAACGAGTACCGCCTTGTGAGAATGCCGTCGCGGTGGTCGATCGCACTCAGTGGTCGCGTCGGTGACCTCGCGACAGGGAACATCCCATCAGGGCTCCTGCAGCCACGAGCGGCCGCTACAAACCCGCTGTGAGCAGTGGCGCTCACGGACGCAACGCGTTGTGAACATTAATTGGTGTTGAACACAATCCACTGCTGGATGAAAGCCTCTCCACGCCGCGGCCGTTGTTTGACCATACTTCACCGCGCTGGTTAGTGCGGGATGGTGAACCACGAGGGGGGGGGGGGGGGCGGGTAGGAGCCGGAGCCGATTGAGACACCACTGCTCGCCACTGATGGTGGCCGTGCACGGGACGCCAGGGTTCATGAGCGCAGTGCACAAACCATTGCGCCACCGTTCCACACCCCCACACCCTGGCGATGAGAATGCGTCTTGAGCTCGCCTCCTCCTCCACCGCAAACTCACCACCACCTTCTCATCCTCACCACCACCATAATGAACCATTTTTCACCACCACCACGACCACCACCTCCTTACCGACACTGTCACCTGCATCCACCACGACCACCCGATCCTCCCCACCTCACCACCACCCCACACTCTTACCCGCCGCACATCCTGAATGCACCACCACCTCTTCACTCAACTACTGCCACATCGCGCTCTTCACCTCCTCCTCACCTCCTCAAACTCCTCCCCGCCCACACAGAATGCAAAACATGTTGAAGATGGAGGGCGGCGCTATCCCGGCCGGCTCGTTCACCGTGTCCTCCTCCGGCGTCTCCTCGTTCAGCTCCTCCTCCTCCAGCTTCTCCTCTTCCTCCTCCTCCTCCGGCTTCTCCTCCTCCGCCTCGGGCTCCTCCAGCTCCGGGGCCGCGAGCTCCAGGTGAGCAGCGATGGGGTTTGTCTCCCGAGTCTCCGTGTGTCTCTGTCTCCCGAGTCTCCGTGTGTCTCTGTGTCTCCCGAGTCTCTGTGTGTCTCTGTGTCTCCCGAGTCTCCGTGTGTCTCTGTGTCTCCCGAGTCTCCGTGTGTCTCTGTGTCTCCCGAGTCCCTGTGTGTCTCTGTCTCCCGAGTCTCTGTGTGTCTCTGTGTCTCCCGAGTCTCCGTGTGTCTCTGTCTCCCGAGTCTCCGTGTGTCTCTGTGTCTCCCGAGTCTCCATGTGTTTCTGTCTCCCGAGTCTCCGTGTGTCTCTGTCTCCCGAGTCTCCGTGTGTCTCTGTGTCTCCCGAGTCTCCGTGTGTCTCTGTCTCCCGAGTCTCTGTGTGTCTCTGTCTCCCGAGTCTCTGTGTGTCTCTGTCTCCCGAGTCTCTGTGTGTCTCTGTCTCCCGAGTCTCCGTGTGTCTCTGTGTCTCCCGAGTCTCTGTGTGTGTCTGTCTCCCGAGTCTCTGTGTGTGTCTGTCTCCCGAGTCTCCGTGTGTCTCTGTGTCTCCCGAGTCTCCGTGTGTGTCTGTCTCCCGAGTCTCCGTGTGTCTCTGTCTCCCGAGTCTCCGTGTGTCTCTGTGTCTCCCGAGTCTATGTGTGTCTCTGTGTCTCCCGAGTCTCCGTGTGTCTCTGTCTCCCGAGTCTCTGTGTGTCTCTGTCTCCCGAGTCTCCGTGTGTCTCTGTCTCCCGAGTCTCTGTGTGTCTGTGTCTCCCGAGTCTCTGTGTGTCTCTGTGTCTCCCGAGTCTCCGTGTCTCTGTCTCCCGAGTATCCGTGTGTCTCTCGAGTCTCTGTGTGTCTCTGTCTCCCGAGTCTCCGTGTGTCTCTGTGTCTCTCGAGTCTCCGTGTGTCTCTGTCTCCCGAGTCTCTGTGTGTCTCTGTCTCCCGAGTCTCCGTGTGTCTCTGTCTCCCGAGTCTCTGTGTGTCTCCCGAGTCTCTGTGTGTCTCTGTCTCCCGAGTCTCTGTGTGTCTCTGTCTCCCGAGTCTCCGTGTCTCTGTCTCCCGAGTATCCGTGTGTCTCTCGAGTCTCTGTGTGTCTCTGTCTCTCGAGTCTCCGTGTGTCTCTGTGTCTCTCGAGTCTCCGTGTGTCTCTGTCTCCCGAGTCTCTGTGTGTCTCTGTCTCCCGAGTCTCCGTGTGTCTCTGTCTCCCGAGTCTCTGTGTGTCTCCCGAGTCTCTGTGTGTCTCTGTCTCCCGAGTCTCCGTGTGTCTCTGTCTCCCGAGTCTCTGTGTGTCTGTGTCTCCCGAGTCTCCGTGTGTCTCTGTCTCCCGAGTCTCTGTGTGTCTGTGTCTCCCGAGTCTCCGTGTGTCTCTGTCTCCCGAGTCTCCGTGTCTCTGTCTCCAGAGTCCTTGTGTCTCTGTCTCCCAAGTCTCCGTGTGTCTCTGTCTCCCGAGTCTCCGTGTCTCTGTCTCCCGAGTCTCCGTGTGTCTCTGTCTCCCGAGTCTCCGTGTGTCTCTGTGTCTCCCGAGTCTCCGTGTGTCTCTGTCTCCCGAGTCTCCGTATCTCCCGAGTCTTCGTGTGTCTCTAACTCCCGAGTCTCCGTGTGTCTGTGTCTCCCGAGTCTCCGTGTGTCTCTCTGTCTCCCGAGTCTCTGTGTGTCTCTGTGTCTCCCGAGTCTCCGTGTGTCTGTGTCTCCCGAGTCTGTGTGTCTCTGTGTCTCCCGAGTCTCCGTGTGTCTCTGTCTCCCGAGTCTCTGTGTGTCTCTGTGTCTCCTGAGTCTCCGTGTGTCTCTGTCTCCCGAGTCTCCGTGTGTCTGTGTTTCCCGAGTCTCCGTGTGTCTGTATCTCCCGAGGCTCTGTGTGTCTCTGTCTCCCGAGTCTCCGTGTGTCTCTGTCTCCCGAGTCTCCGTGTGTCTGTGTCTCCCGAGTCTCCGTGTGTCTCTGTCTCCTGAGTCTCCGTGTGTCTCTGTGTCTCCCGAGTCTCTGTGTGTCTCCCGAGTCTCTGTGTGTGTCTGTGTCTCCCGAGTCTCCGTGTCTCTGTGTCTCCCGAGTCTCTGTGTGTCTCTGCGTCTCCGGAGTCTGTGTGTCTCTGTGTCTCCCGAGTCTCTGTGTGTGTCTGTCTCCCGAGTCTCCGTGTGTCTCTGTCTCCCGAGTCTCTGTGTGTGTCTGTCTCCCGAGTCTCCGTGTGTCTCTGTGTCTCCCGAGTCTCCGTGTGTCTCTGTCTCCCGAGTCTCTGTGTGTCTGTGTCTCCCGAGTCTCTGTGTGTCTGTGTCTCCTGAGTCTCTGTGTGTCTCTGTGTCTCCCGAGTCTGTGTCTCTGTGTCTACCGAGTCTCTGTGTGTCTCTGTCTCCCGAGTCTCTGTGTCTCCCGAGTCTCCGTGTGTCCGTGTCTCCCGAGTCTCCGTGTGTCTGTGTCTCCCGAGTCTCTGTGTGTCTCTGTGTCTCCCGAGTCTCTGTGTGTCTCTGTGTCTCCCGAGCCTCCGTGTGTCTCTGTCTCCCGAGTCTCTGTGTGTCTCTGTCTCCCGAGTCTCCGTGTGTCTCTGTCTCCCGAGTCTCTGTGTGTCTGTGTCTCCCGAGTTTCTGTGTGTCTGTGTCTCCCGAGTCTCCGTGTGTCTGTGTCTCCCGAGTCTCTGTGTGTCTCTGTCTCCCGAGTCTCTGTGTGTCTCTGTGTCTCCCGAGTCTCTGTGTGTCTGTGTCTTCCCGAGTCTCTGTGTGTCTCTGTGTCTCCCGAGTCTCCGTGTGTCTCTGTGTCTCCCGAGTCTCCGTGTGTCTGTGTCTCCAGAGTCTCCGTGTGTCTCTGTCTCCCAAGTCTCCGTGTGTCTCTGTGTCTCCGTGTGTCTGTGTCTCCCGAGTCTCTGTGTGTCTCTGTCTCCCGAGTCTCCGTGTGTCTCTGTCTCCCGAGTCTCTGTGTGTCTCTCAGAGATGATGCTTCACTGTGTGCTTGTCTCTCTCCATGTGTCTCTGTGCTAACTCGTTCTGCTTGGATGTCTATATATGTGTATGCGGTCTGTATTTTTTTTATTTCACACTTAACTTGCAATTTAGCAATCTTTGAAATAACGTAATCAACAAGACCTTGCGTTAATTGTGTTTTGACCGACCGTCTGTGTTGCGTTATATGGTTTCCAAATTTTGTTAAACCCTGTTTGATTTAGTGTGCTCCCACGTTTCTCTCTCTCTGTATCCCCTGTTGTATCTGTGTCTGTATATATCTGCCGTTGTGTATCTCCTCTCTCTCGTAAATTTAGCTCTTCTGTACCTGATGATGATTGCTTGTGTTGCAATCGAAACGTCTCAAACTATTGTAGAGGAGTAGAATGGGGAAGTGGCGTCACTTGTGCTGTCCAGGGCGATGACGTGACGTCATGCGCTCGGGGCAGCAGAGTGACGTCACGGCTCCTCAAGGATAAAAGGGGGACCCCGTGACGTAAGCGGGGTCGTAGCTGGAGAGTAGGGTCTGAGAAGGGTGGAACGGGGAGCCAGGGGCAAGAGGGTAGGGATAGGAGAGAGCACAGTGCCAGGCTAGACGTGGCTGTGCTCCTCGCTCGGCCGTGTTGGCTGATCCCACGGCCGGGGCAGAGGAGACAGCACAGGGCAGCCGGCTGTGTCGGGACCTAGCCCGGGACCCCTAACCCCTGGGGAGTTGTTCACCCCTGTGTATTGTTAAAGATTTGTAATAAAACCTTGGCGGAAGCCCTTACCTTACCTTAGCCTCCGAGTGAGTCGTCGGGAACTCCTTTACACTATTATGTAATTTAATTTTATTATTTCTTATTTCTACGTGACTTTACCGAAAAAAACAAAGAATAATTAGTTACTAGTTCAGCACACCGGTTGTGTGTTGGAGAGTAAACCCACTACAACATTTACAATTCGAGTATCGTGACGTTTCGCTGGTATTTACAACCAGCATCATCAGGTGATGTGCCATCATTTTGAAGAAGTCTTCCTGTTTAGGTCTTTATGTTTCGGTCTGTAATTATTTCGTCAGAATATTCTTCACATCCTGGAGAATATTAACAAACAAAGCAATCAACCTCACGATACATAGTCCCTTCGGCATACTATGATTATGTTAAAAGCGGTTTCCTTGTGGCCGTGGCTCCTCCGAGTATGGGAGGACCGTGAGAAGAGCGGCTGTCTCTACCGTTACCATGGTAACGGACCGGGTTGTCCCGGGTAACCACAACCTCACTCTGACCCTCCCCTAGAAGCGGTGAGAGTCGGCCAGCAGGCAACTCCTGCTCCTCCCTCTCCCCCACACATCTTTGCCCCTCTAGATGAGGGCGCAGTGTACAGGCAAACCTTGCTTAGCCGTGACCTCTGGAGACCGCTGAATTCGCTAGAGCGCTCTTTGTCCTAGAGTACATTTTGTTAGGAGTAAGTAAAAAAAGGAAAAAATTCAGAAAATGAAAAAATAAATCTACAAAGTGCCTCCGAGTGAGAACACACGGCAGTGCTGGCCCGAGGAAACGTTCCGCACCCATTATTCTGATGAGAGCGACGCACGCTCTGAGCAAACCAGACCCCACACATTCCATCACACACACGCACGGCCTTCTGGGAGCGCATGAACTCAGACCAAGTTGATATTCCAGCTCCCCCACGTGCAGCAAGTTGATGGTCTCAGCTGGCAGTTCACCGGTGTCTGCCAGGTCTGTCCACTCGGCTACCCACGTCCCCACGCGCCTCCTACCCACGTCCCCATGCGCCTCCTACCCATGTCCCCACGTGTCTCCTACCCATGTCCCCACGTGTCCCGCTGCGTCTCCCTGTTTGACCTGGCATCCCAGCTCGTCCGCCATGGGGCTGGGCTCTATGAGTCTGGAGCAGACGATGAAGGTGCAGGGCACAGCGCAGCAACTCCTGGGCAAGATCAAGGCGAGCGACAAGTGAGTGGCTCCTCACCACCACCATTCCTCACCACTACTACTCACATCGGTACTGCTCGCTAACAGCACTTGCTCCAACATCCTATTAAGGCTACACGAGGGATCTTTGTATTTGTTGTTGATGTTGTTCTGCAGCCACAGGGGATCTTTGTTGATGTTGTTGTTGTTGTGCAGTTATACCAGCCTGGAGGTCGTGGGGTCGTTGCGGGAGCTGTCTACCTCCCTCACGCAGTGCAGCACGCTGGGTGGGCGAGTCCAGCTGGTGAACTCACTCACTGCACAGGGCTGGGCGGGTGAGCAGCGCACCACTCGCCACTCACCACGCACTCACCGCGCACTCACCACTCACCGCGCACTCACCGCGCACTCACCACTCACCGCGCACTCGCCACTCACCGCGCACTCACCGCGCACTCACCACTCACCGCGCACTCGCCACTCACCGCGCACTCGCCACTCACTCGCCAACAACCCACACCATACCACGCTCACCACACCGTGATTCGTACAGGCGCGAGGGAGAGATCCTCACGGGGCTGGTGATGATGACAATATTGACGAGGTGGATGATGATGATGATGTTGATGATGATATTGACGATGTTGATGATGATGACAATGTTGGTAATGTGGATAATAATGACGTTTTTGATGACGTGGATGACGATGATGACAATGATGTTGGCGATGTGGATGATGATGTTGACGATAATGATGTTGATGATGATATTGACGATGTGGATGTTGACGATGTTGGCGATGTGCAGGGGTTCTGATGAAGGTCCTCTCGGGCCTGGACGCCGAGGGGCTGGAGTTCGTGGGGGGCTCCACGCTGCGCCTCGTGCTGCACGCCTCACAGCTGAGCGCCGACTTCCGTGAGGCGCTGGGCCGCGCCGGCGGAGTGCAGATCCTGCTGGGCAACCTCTCCGCAGTGAAGGACTCCATCGATGATGAGGTGCTGCCCACTCCCCGTCACCCCTCGCCCCCTCCTCATTACGCCTCGCCCCCTCCTCGTCACCCATCGCCCCCTCCTCATTACTCCTCGCCCCCTCCTCGTCACCCCTCGGCATGGCCTCCCGCTGTCACCTCGTCACCCACGCTCGACAAACCCACGGAACTTCCGCGGGACTTTATGATGAAGAGGAGAGCGCGACTCATCAGTAAACTCTTACAATCTCACATGCGCAAAGACAAAGATCCCCCGTATAGCCTTAACAGACTGTTGGGGCAAGTGCTGTTTGCGAGCAGCACATCTGAAGGTTGGCACGGCACACAAGAGGGTGGGTGGCCAGCACCACGCCTGACCACTTTTATCTCCCTCGTGGCGATGTTTACTACACACCGTATTAGGTACTAATTTTAGGCTGAGTCGACCTCGGGGAGGCCCAGGACCGGTTTAGATAATTGTCACTAGGGTTGAGTGTAAGGGGGAATCGAACTCGGGACACCGGGTTCGTAGCGCAGCGCACTAACCGTGACACTCGCTCCTGACACACAAACACAAGACACGTACACACACACTCTCAACGTGCACACACTCCCGGCGGTGTTGTTAGGATTACAGCTGTCCTCCGCCAAACCATCCTCTGCCAAACCAAAACGTGTGGCAGTTTGCTTCGCCAGTGCGAGTATGCATCTGCAAGTTGTGTTGAAACAGTTTTAGCACGGAATTTGTTATCTCCGTGTTGTCTTGAGTGGATCTTTCGTCTAATGAGTGTCTCGACCTACGATCACCAGTTGGACGAATTATCGGGCCGTAGATGACGGCGAGTTGCAAGTAATTTTGCATTTTCAGAACAGGATTATTAATTATTGCATAGCCACCTTTATTTTATTATAATAATACATAGCAAAATGCGTCTGCCGGATGCTTGCAGCCTCTTGATGCCATCTCAAAAAAATGCAGATATGTATCCACTTAGGCAGCTGGAACTAAACTGAACTGGTGGGCTTAAGGCCCCTGTATTTATACTACTATTTATATTACTGCAAAGTTCTAGAATGTTCTAGACGTTACTCCAAGTTTACTCAGCACTTAATCTATCTGGAATGTTCTGGAATTAGGTAAATTTCAAAATATCACTGTCCTGGTCACAAAAGCAAAGTTTGTGGGGAATAAGCAATTAGGAAATAACACTTACTTACCAGGAACAACATTTTTTTATTACAGAGTGTTATCAGAAGTTTGTATCATCACGTTTGCAGGGCATGTATACGTGACGGAACGCTCAGCAAGCAGCCACCCAGCCTGCGCGATCGTGCTAAAGTATAAATTATGTGAAGGAGTCCCGTTACACGCGCTGATTGGTTGGAGTGCGTGACGTCACGACCAACCAACCAGAGGGCAGTATTACAGGAAAAATGTATCTTCGCATATTATTATTATGTAGAGGATTGCAGAGCTTGGGCGATCGTTGGTCGCGCCGGGTGGCTACTGCTGCTGCTGCCTTCCCACTCGTCGGCGGTTGCTCGTCGGCGCCTCATAAGTCGTGACGCAAGCAAGATGCGTGTGGCGTGGTATAGCGTGGTATGGCGTGGTATGGCGTGGTGCGAGTGGCGTGGTGCGTGTGGCGTGGTGCGTGTGGTGTGGTGTGGCATGATGCGTGTGGCGTGCTGTGGCATGATGCGTGTGGCGTGGTTTTGGCGTGGTGCGTGTGGCGCGCTGTGGCGTGGTGTGGTGTGACAGACGGCGTTCGCTCAGCTGCTGATCTCGCGGCTGGCGATCATGTCGCTGTGGCACGTGGCCACTGAGCGGCAGAACCGCGCATTGCTGCGCACGGAGGAGGCGCGCGCATCGCTGGGCGCGCTGCTCGCCCTAAAAAACGCGCACATGCGCGTCGGGGCCACGCTCACCGCCTGCCTGGCGCTCAGCGAGAACACAGCCGATGAGCACGCCGTCAAGTCGGGTGAGACGCCACTCAGGGAGGGGTAGAAGGGATGGGGGGGACAGAGGGAGGGGTGAGAGGGGGAGGAGTGATTTGGATGGAGTGTGGGAGAAGGGTGAGAGGAATAGGGGTGGAATAGGAGGTGTCGTGAGCGGTGAGCAGTGATTGGTATTGCGAGCGATGTCTTGAGTGATGAGCGGTGTGGTGAGTGGTGAGCGGTGAGCGATGTGCTCGAGTGGGGAGCGGTGTGGTGAGCGGTGAGCGATGTGTGTGCGGTGCAGGACACCTGGCCTCCACGGTGAGCTGGCTGCGTGCAGCGCTCAACACCGTCCTGCTGGAGTACGAGGGGCACAGCCTCCTGGAGATCCTCACCACCCTCGCTCACCTCGCCCGCCTGAATGCCTGCGCCACGCCGGTACACTCATGCCTACACAAGGACAAAGATCCCCCATCTAGCCATTACAGACTTTTGGTGGCAAGTGCCGTTGGCGAGTGGCAGCACCTATGAAGGCCGGCACGGGTGGGCAGCCAGCACCACGATCAGCCACCGTTGTCTCCCTAGTGGCGATGTTTACATACCGCATCAGGCACTCGGGATTAGTTGAGTTAATCGTCACTGGTGTTGGTGGCCGTGATGGGAAATTTAACTCGGCTGGCTGGGTTTGTAGAGCAGCACGCTAACCACTACACTACCATAGACACACGCGTGTACGTGCGTGCGTGCATGTACGTGTGTGTGTGCGTGTATGTGTGTGCATGCACATAGCCTGGCACAAGCGTCGTGGTGACGTCACCGCCACTTAGTGGCCAATGGCGGTTGTTGTTGTGCATGCATGCGTAGGGAGAGTACAGGAGTAAGTAACCCTACTTAACCTGAGACGATGCGCCCTGCTTCTGTGGTATGGTGTGGTGTGGTGCGGGGTGGGGCGTGTGGTGTATGTGGTGCGGTGTGGTGCGTGCGGTGTGGTGTGTGGTTGGTGTGGTGCATGCGGTGTGGTGCATGTGGTGTGATGTGTGCGGTGCGTAGCTGTTGGAGGCGGGCGCGGTGCCGCTGGCGGTGCAGGTTCTGCGCCGTGGACGTGAGGAGGAGCGGCGCGCCGCCACCACCCTCGTGTGGCACCTCGCCTTCCACCCCGGCCTGCGCAACGCCATGCGCAATGGTGCGCTTCCACCACACCGCACCACACCGCGGGAACCATACCACACCACACCGCACACCATAACACACACCACACTGCACACCATACCACACCGCACACCATACCACACTGCATCACGGGAACTACACCCCACCACACCACACACCATACCACACCGCACCACACCACAAACCATACCAAAAGTGCACCATACCACAAACCACACTGCAGCACACACCACACCACACCGCACTACAGGAAATGGACCGCACTGTGGAAACCACACTACACTGCGGGAACCGCATCCGTTGATGTTGTTGTGATGATGTGATGATGTTGTGATGATGATGTGACGATGATATGTTGTGATGATGATGCAATGATTATGTGACGATGATGTTGTGGTAATGTTGTGGTGATGTTGTGGTGATGATGATGCTGTGACGATGGTGGTGGTGGTGGAGATGAGGAGCTGGCGAGGGAGCTGTCCGTGCTGCTGAGAGGAGGTTCGCCCTGGCTGGCGGGGGCCGCGCGCGGCATCGGTCTCCTCCTCCTCACTGAGAAGTCTCCACGATACGTGCTGTCTCGCGAGGGCACGCAGCCTGGTACAACTCTCCCTCGCACTCGCACCCTCTCACTCACTCTCGCACCCTCTCACTCACTCTCGCACCCTCTCACTCGCACTCCTCACTCACTCTCATTCACTCTCACTCACACGTGCTGTCTCGCGAGGGCACGCAGCCTGGTACAACTCTCCCTCGCACTCACTCGCCACTCTCATTCTCTCATCAAAATCTCACTGTGGACTCTGTGGTGCTGCCCCTCCCCCCACAGGTGGAGCTGGCCCTGGTGCATTATGGGTAGCGGAGTCAGGTCAGGAGGTGCGGCTTGGCAAAGCGTGGACCGAGTGGGAGACGTTCCCACACGGTGAGAAGCCGCACCGCTGCAGCAAAGCCATACCAAATCCACACCACCACGATGCAAAGATCACTCGTATAGCCTTACAGACTGTTGGGGCAAGTGCTGTTAGCGAGCACTTATGAAGGCCGACACGGCACACGAGGGGGTGGGTAGCCAACACCACGCCCGGCCGCCTTTGTCTCCCCAGTGGTGATGTTTTACACACTGCATCAGGGACTTATTTGAGGCTGAGTCGACCTAGGGGAGGCCCAGGACCGATACAAATTATCCTCACTAGTGTTGGCCTTGAACGGGAATCGAACCCACCATATACCTCACCACACACCTCACCAGACATAGAATGACCCTGGACCTGCTCTCTCGGTGGCTGTGCAGTGTTCCCCGTGTACGCGGCTCGTGAGGGAGGGGTGGTGATCAGCCACGACGGCGTCCACGTCGCCACGGCGACCGCCCTGCGCGACAAGCTGCAGGTGAGGCTCGCACGCAAGGGTGAGTGGCCACGCGGCGAGGGATACGGGCCGCCTCATCGCCTCCTGTGTCTCCCGCCTCACCCGTGTCTCTTGTCTCCTGTGGCTCCTGCCTCATTTGCCTCTCCCCTCTTCCGTGTCTCCCACTTCACCTGCGTGTCCCTTGTCTTCCGTGCATTCACCGCGTACCCCTGTGGGCCCAGACGCGCGGCGTGCGAGTGTGGATGAACACGGAGCCCCTGAGTCCGCACTCCCTGGACCAGACGCTCGCAGCCATTGAGGCGGCCGGCGTCGTCTTCGTGACGGCCACCAACGCCTACCAGGACAACCCACGGTGCCGTACTGGTGAGCTTTTCACGCACTCATCCCACCAGCAACAGCGATGTCGCCACGGTGCTCGACGTGCCAAGCCGATTGCCCTTTAACACTACCACGTAAGGTGTGCAAGCCTCACTGCTGACAGGAGGTCACGGGAAACTCAGGGGCCATGGGTTGACTGAGAAGACTGGCAGATGCACCACCTGTACCCCTCTACTGTGCCCTCTACTAGAAAGTATTTTAGCCACCCGGCGCTCTACTCATTGTTGTCAGCGTCGCTCTTCTACCTTCCACTGTTGTAGGAGGGCAACTGCCTCTAACTGCCTAATAGCCTCCTCCAGAGAGGCTGATCTTAACACCGCTAGTATCAGTCATCGGCAAGTCCACTCAGCTCCAAATCCTCCTGTACTGCATCAGTCCATCTCTTCTCCAGCCCATGCCACACCCATTAAGCCCCCTCTATTTGACCAAACAGAAGCTGCTTGGGCAAGCGGTGGCTGGGCATGTAGGCTACATGACTCAGCCAACAAAGCTTCACGTACTGGAGGAGCTGATGAGACTGTATCCAGATCTTTCACATAATTCAGCCTGGTTAAACCTAGGATGGATCGTAGGCAGGCCAGCCTGAATGTATGGAACCAGCACAGATGTTCCTTTGAAGGGCTCCACATTTCATAACCATACAGAAGGGAGGGCATAATGGTGCCTGAGAAGACCCAAAGCTTCGTATAGAGTGATGACCAGGTAGCTTCCAAACAACATTACGCAGCTCATGAAAATCTAATGCCTCTGCTGCTGAACCAGAGTTGGTCATAGGCACACTGCCCAGGTACATAAACTTGTCCACTCTCTTCACAACTGCCCCATTGCTCATTGCGAGTTAAGGGGATGGTGCTTTGCTTCCGTGGACCTGATTGTGGCATGCTCCAGGTTCAGCAGCAGAGTCTTCAACACCTTCTCAGTGAGCAGAAATTACCAGATCATCAGCATGGTTGACCAATAGAGAGCCATCTCTTGACCGCATCCGAGTATCGATCAGCTTCCCATTGTATCTGTAGCAGATGGAAATGCCTCTGATACAGTCATGGAAAGCTTCTCCAACTACGTGCTCAAAGATGATGTTGAATAATGTGGGAGCCCAGAGGACATCCCTGTCTCACCCCAAGGTGAACAGGGAATGGCTCTGACTCCCGGCCACGCCTCGTCATCTGCCCTCTCCCTCTCTGTTGACACTGCTGCCCCCCTTTCTCTTATCGCCCCCCCCCCTTTCTCAGAGTACTCGTTCGCGCGGATGTTCGGCAAGGCGGTGGTGCCGCTGCAGGTGGAGCTGGGCAGCCCCGTGGACGGCTGGCTCTCTGCGCTGCGTGACTGGAAGCTGCTCGATGGAGCGCCCACGCCCAGCCTGGTCGACGGTGAGATCGTGGTTAGGGGTCGCGGCTCAAAGGTCATGGTCAAGGGATTGCAGCGTCTGGGTTGAGCGACCGTAAAGGACGCTGGTGTCACCCGGCACTCTTGTGTGCGAGCGTGCGACACACACCTCACCCCCCCACCCCGTGCCCCCCCCCCCCCCCACCGTGTCCCTCCCCCCGTCCAGGAGAAGGGCACCCCATGACCGCCCCGACCACTGGCGCCGGCTTTGTCATCAACTCCCCGGCCAACATCCAAGCCTCCCTCGCCGCCATCGAGCACGCCGTGGACAGATACCGCACCGTCTACGTGCAGAGTGAGGGCACTCACCACAGCACACACTCACCGCAGTCTCCTCCTCCACATTGTCACACACAGTCATACAGACAAAGACAAAGATCCCCCGTGTAGCCTTAACAGACTTTTGGGGCAAGTGTTGCTAGCGAGTAGCACCTACTCGTTAACAGGGGGTGGGTGCCCAACACCACGCCCGGCCACCTTTGTCTCCCCAATGGTGATATTTACATACCGCACCAAGTATTCATTTGAGGCTGAGTCGACCTAGGGGAGTCCAAGGACCAGTTCAGATATTCGTCACTGGTGTTGGCAGTGAGCGAGAATCCAACTTGAGTCGCCGGGTTCGTAGCACAGCGTGCTAACTGCTACACTACTGCTCCCAAACACTCGCCACAGCACACACGCTCACCGCACCCCCACGTTCTCCTCTGCCACGTTCTCGTTTCTCCCTGTAGATGCCCGCGCCGCCTCCGACTGGGCCCCCTTCAACCCCGTGGGGGTCCCGTATGGTGCCCTGGCTCAGGGTCCCTGGGGCCCCGCGCCCAGCCTAGCTGAGCTGGGGGTCAGCGGTCCCTATAACGTGGGCCCCTACTCTGGAGAACCCCACGCTGGGGGGCCCTATGCCGGGGGGCCCGTGGCCTACGCCGGGGGACGCATGTGGAGCCGCAAGTGTGACTGCCGCTGGGTTCCACTGGAGGGAGGAGCCTCCTCCTGGTGGGGGAAGCAGCCTGAGGGGTGTCAGTGCCACTGAGCCTCCGTGGTCAGCTCACCCACTCACCTGCTCCTCCATGAATCACCAGCTCACCCGCTGCTCCGTCAACCAAACGCTCAATTGGTCGTCCGTCAACCACATGCTGATCTGCTCCTTCATCAACCACCCACTCACCCGTTCCTCCATCAACTACCCGCTCACCCGTTCGACAGTACTGTCAACCACTCGACCGCTCCAACAACCACAACCCAACCACAAACACCATGTGTCGCACACCACGACCACCAGCTCAGACGCCACTACCCAACTACAACACGACCACGCGCCCCGCTCAATGGCACACTTCACACTGCTAACGTCACCACTACAACAGTCACAAACCACCGCATGCTGACCATACGCGCTCAACCACCAACTCTACCCTGTGTGTGGTGCGGTTTTTGTTTCAGGTTGAGTGCTTAAAGCTGAAAGAGCTGCCCACACGGACTACAGCAACTGACACACCTGCTGCTGCTGCACACCCAGAGAACCCTGACACACCCACACGCCCAGTGAACACCTATTGCTCCACATCCACCGCCATCCCACACCACCACTAAAACCACCACCCACCACCACCAGTGAGCATCAAACAAAGACAAACATCCCCCGTATAGCCTTAACAGACTGTTGGGACAATTGCTGTTTGCGAGCCCCTATGAAGGCCGGAACAGCACACGAGTGGGTGGGTGGCCAGTACCACACCTAAGTGGCGATGTTTACACACTGCACCAGGTACTCAATTGAGGCTGATTTGACCTAGAGGAGACCCAGGACCGGTTCATACAATCTTCACTGTTGTTGGCCGGAAGTGGAATCGAACCCGTGTAAGTCGGGTTTGTAGCATAGCGCGCTAACCGCGACACGACCACTTCACACACCACCACTGCAACAACCTTCCCCACCAGCGAACATCAACAACACCCAACACCAACCCACACAAACCACCAGCGCACTCCGATCACGCGCAGAGCAGACAGCTCGCACACAACACGGTGTTCACCACCTCGCACGCACCACGTGCAAACCACGTGCACATCACGCGCAAACCACGTGCACACCGCGCCCTGGACCGCTGGGCATCGCACACTGCGCTGGTCCCGTGTAGCTGCCCGCTTCTGTCTGCGGGGCTGAGGACGCCACCCCGGCTTTTGCTTGGTGCTGGGAACAGTAAAAGTACTGGGAACAAAATACAGAATCTGCGTCTTCTTCTAATACACTTTGTGTGTGCCACGTGTTTGTGTGTGCCGCGTGTGGTGTGTATCGCGTGTGGTGTGTATCAGATGGAAATTCCTCCAGTATATCCATCGAAAGTTTCTCAAACTTGTTAGTGTAGGGCCAGAGGACATTGCTATCGCACCCCAAGGTGAATAGAAAATGGCTCCAACTCATAGCTTTACCTGGGCCTGCCCGCCATCATGAGCAGTGCTCAGGGTCTCCAAAAGCACAAAGAATAACCCAGAGCCCTGGCCTATTGATTGTATCATTGGCCTATGCAGCAGATGTGCCAGTTACTGCAGTGATGTGTGTGTACGCCTATACGGGGATGGTATGGCTACGTACTGTGTGAAAGAAGTTCAACAAACACAACCGCTATTCGCCACTCATTGCCGGCAACATAACCACGGCGCTTGTGCCAGGCTATGTGCACTTTAGGGCCACGTCAAGTGTCATGCTCGTTCGTAGGAGAGGTCACGGCACAGACTCAGGTGCCGTGGGTTCACTGAGATGACTGGCAGATGCTGTGGGGCTCGACGTCCACCCCGTCGACCTCACGGGGAGAGTGAGACGCCACTCTCTCTCTTCCCTCTTGTTCACCCGGCGCCCCCCTGTTCACGTCGTCTCGCAAAGACAAGCTGGCCGACTGGGGCTGCTGCTCGGGATGAACTTATCGGCGTCCGTCTCGACGTGCGTTGAGGCACTGAGCGAGGATGCCCATGCACACTCCCACACAGAGCTACCCACAGCACCGCTCCTCCCCTCGCACAGACGAACACGGCGTGTTCACCAGTGTACCACCAACTATCCCCACACCGGGGAGAGCGAGCCGTACGAATACCCGAGGTAAGGAGCACGTAACGGCGGTATCGAGATGCACACACTCTTCAAGACCATGGACATCACACGACAATCTTTCTAACTGGTTTTATTTAACAACAAACTCAAACCAATGTGGTTACTATGATTTTGCTGGGGCGGCCCGAGAACATTCGAGCTAGAAAAGAGCCCTTCCCACCACTGTCTATTTACTCACTCAGCCAGACCTACTCGTTTTCCGTACCTGGTACCAGCCGATGAAGAAGAGTCATCTTCCTCGGCTGGCCGTATGTAAATTTCGTGAATCTCCTTCCACACCAGAAACAGATTTCTTTCGAGCCTCGTCTCAAACGGTGTTAGACCAGAGGACGCCAAAAGACATACAGTATAATATATGCATTGTCTTTGAACCAATCAGTTTCAAAGACAATGCATATATTATCAGAGTATTTATTTTGTTTGCATTCTGACCACAAGTATTGTGGTTAATGCAGACATGATTCCTTGTAAAAGGTTTCAATTTTGTGTTTTAACATCTTAACACCCATTTTGTTGCCAGAAAAAAGGGGAAAACCTATTCTCAAATTTTGGTACTGGCAAAGGAGGTCCCATCAAGGAAGATTGTGTTCCCACCCTTACACATCAAGCTGGGTCTGATGAAGAACTTTGTCAAAGCCATGGACAAAACACAAGCAGCTTTCAAGTACCTCCGTGGAAAATTTTCAAGGTTAAGTGAAGCTAAGATAAATTAAGGTGTCTTTGTTGGTCCTCAGATTCGTGAACTTTTTCGAGATGATGCATTTGACAGTGCACTGCATGGCAAGGAAAAGACGGCATGGAAAGCCTTCCAGTTAGTGGCAAACTTTTTCTCAGAAACAAGGCAGACAACTACAGGGAGTTGGTGGAAAACCTCATCAAGGCATACAAAAGCCTTGTTTGCAACAAGTCACTAAAGATAAAAAATTTTTAACTCTCATCGAGATTTTTTCCCACCGAACTGCGGAGCGGTGAGCGACGAGCATGGCGAGCGATTTCACCAGGACATTGCAACAATGGAGAAACGCTATCAGGGCAAATGGAGCCCATCACTGCTTGCAGACTATTGCTCGACAGTGAAAAGAGATGCTCCATTGAATGAATACAAGAGACAAGCCAAGAAGCGCCGAGTAGACACTGAATAAGGACTAAACTATGTACTTATACTCTTTGGTTATTTCGGTAAAGTCACGTAGAAAGAAATTAAATTTAATAATAGAATACGACGTTTCGATTGCAACACAAGCAACCATCATCAGGTACAAAGGGATGAGAAAACATAGTAAAGTTGGAAATATAATGCAATACAACACAGAGAGTCGGCCAACACAACAGTCAACACCCCATCTGGTTGATTACGTTCTTTCAAATATTGCTAAATTTGAGAGAGAGACAAAACATAGACACGGAGACACACAGACAGACACACAAGCAGAGAGAGACTCACACAGAGACAAACGGAGTGAGACACGTACATAGGCACACAGAAAGACAATGTCTCTGTGACGAGGCCTTAAATAGAGAGAGAGGGGTGGGGGGGGTTGGGGCAGAGGGGGAGTTGTGTGGAATTCCTGTCCATATCAGACGGACGAGCTGGACACTGGACTTCTAAACAAACAAGCATGGAGTGTTGTGTGGAATTCCTGCCCATAGCGGCAGGAGGAGAGAATGGACTTATAAATAAGCACGGAACAAGCACGGTAGAAAGCACTTCCTGTACCACATCACTCCATATCTTCTCTAGCCCATGCCGTGCCCATTTAGCCCCCTTTATCCATCAAAAAAATATACCTGAGCATGCCGTGGTTGGATATGCGGGCTATGTGATCCAGACAACACAGTCTTGCCTGTCAGAAGAGCTCATAGATGGGACTGTGTCCAAATCTTTCACGAATTTATGAGCTCCTCACACAATCGAGCCTGGTTAAACCCAGAATGGATCATAGGCAAACCAGTTTGAATGTTTATAATCGGCGAAGATGTTGGACGGGCAAAAGGCGAGTGAGCCAAGAATGTCTGTGTGTCCCGCGCGTGACGTCACTCCACGCTGGCCAGCCCCCATCATTAACACTCATAAACAGGTGACGTCCTCCACATGGACCCCCCCTCATTAATAATCATGAGCGGGTGACGTCACTCCACATGTAGCACCCCCCCCCCCCCACATTAATAATCATGAAGAGGTGACGTCTTCCAAATGGACACCCCCCTCCATTAATATTAATTAGCGGGTGACATCACTCCACATGGGGGGCGAGGCGCCTCCTCCTCCTCCGCAGCGTCAACTTACAACCCTCACTACAAAGGCAGAACCCTCACGTTACGCGATCTCCATAATGCTATTGAGAAATAGAAGTAAAAAGGACGTCATGATGAACAACGGATTATAACCTTCAAATGAAATAAGTCTGTGTCACTGCGGCCTTACAAATTGCACACGAATTGATGCAATGAATATCACGTTGCGGTCTGCTTTTCGCTTGCAAGTTTCAGATTTACTGCAATACACCCGTCCTTGGACGGGCAAAAGGCTAGTTTTATGATATTTTGCTAAGGATGCTTATAACACCCTAACATCATCCCTCCCCGTAATAAAGACAAAACGAACAACTCGAAATGGCTGTGTGGCCTTTTTGTGTGTTCAATATCCATATATGATCAATATGTCTCGTTTGTGTCTCCCCGTGTGAGAGTTGGTTGGTGACCAGTTCTGTGCGTGATGGTATGCTGGTGACTGCATCAGTCTTTTGCATGTGAGGGGGGTTCTCCCAGTAAAAGAGAGGCTGGCGTGGGGAATGGGATAAGTGTGTCGCGAGAGCAAACAATTTGTAAGCGAAATTGCAACAACAACAACAATGAACCACGTGAGACGACCAAAGCGCATAAGTGACAAAGACCAAACAGCGTACGAGATAACAAGCAATGGAACCGACCGATGTAAGTGTAGTGACATAGCGCCAACTGCTGTCCAGCAGCGGCAACTGCAGTGGACAGTTCGCGCACACGCCGTTGAGCATATACACGGGAGTGCCGGCAGGGCGGAGGAACTGGGGCAATGATTACAGAAGATCTCATCGGGAAGCTCCACATGTAGCACCCCCCCTCATTAATTATTAGTGAGTGGTCCCTTGTAGGCATCAGGTTGCGGAAGGTCAGGTAGACACGCACTAATTGTTGGTTCTGTGAGGTGACGTGTTCTTGTCGGTGTCAACATCGTCTGGCGACATTTTGGGAGACACCTCCCCTCCCGGACGGTTGTGTGTCTGAGATTGTGGTATGCCTGTGCGCGAGTGGCAAGTGTATGATTTTAATCTGTATGGGTGTTCAAACCACTTCCGGTGTCCCCAATGTATTTGGGTACATTGGGGCCTAATAATTTTGGGTATCTGCATGGGGCCCTGCTATGGTTTGTGCAGTTTTGAGGAAGTCCCAGCTGGTATTTGTGCAGTCATGCTAGGTGTTCTGCGGTGCAGAGCAACTCCGCAAGTACCGCGATTGTCCACTACCCCCCA